ACCGTCCCGGTCCGCTGCGTGCGCGTGCGTGTGCGTGCGTGCGCGCGTGTGCGTGCCGGTCTTGGGATTTGAACCCGAGGCCGGGCTCGGTCCTCCTTCAAGGCTGGCGCTCGGCTCCACGTCCGGCTTTCCGCCGGTTCAGGCTGCCCCTGCCTGGGCTGCCGTCCGGCCTCAGCCCCGGCCTCCCTCCGCTGCGTGCTCCGGCCTCTCCCTCCACCGGCCCGCACGGGGCGCGCTCACTCCCGACTCGGCGAAACACGGCTGTGTGGACGCCTGGCCCTGGGGCCGAGGCCTTCCTCGGTGATGGGAACCTGTCTGGGATGACTCCGAGGGGTCTTCGGCGGCGGTGGTGGTGGTGGGTTCTCTCATGCTGAACCCCTGATTGGCCTCCAACTCAAGATCTACCGGCTTCAGCCTCCCAAGGGCTGGGATTACAGAGGTGTGCCACCGCACCTGGCTTGCCACGAAGTCCTATGGGGTTCTAGTTTCCTTTTCTGCAAAAATAGGACTCGAGGTGCTTCTGTCCGGGCCGCAGCGCGGCGTCGTGCTCGCGGGCCAGCTCCCCAGCGCACAGCCATCGCTGGCAGCTATATATAACCAGGGCCTCCTTTCGACTCCCACTGCCTGTGTCCTACTTCTAGCCCGCATCCGCCGGCCCTGCGCTGCGTCTGCTCCCGGGCTCCAGCGCCTCCTCGCTGCCTCCTGACAGCCTGGTCGTCCCTCCGCCAGCCTCCCTCTCAGCCTTCGTTGGTCTCCACAGCCTCCACAGGGCAGCCTCCGGTTCACAGCCTCCCACCCTCCAGCCCCCCTTCCCCTCCCCAGGGAGCCCACACACTCATTCCCTGTTCGCTTCTCCTCCCAGTTCTTTCTCATCTTGCCCAGGATGGGGCTGGGAGGGAAAATGACAGGGGTGCCAGAGGTCAGTGTGTTTGCTTTCCTGAGCCTTGAACACATGACAGCCCAGCTCACAAGATGGAACCCCAGATGTGCACTTTGGGGGTTTGCTTTTTGATCTACCCTAGATTTCACTCTGCAGCACCACTGTCTCCTGCCTCTGTTTCTTCCTTCTCTCTCCTGCCCACCTCCTCCATCTCTGGGTCAGAACCTGGGTCTCTACTGCTTCCTTGTGTGATCTCCTTGGGGCCTTATTCCAACTCCCTGTTATCATGATCGTTGCTTCTAGAACAATCTTTAGAACTCAACTCTGTGCCTGTTCATCTGGATAGATGTACCAGGCCCCAGTCACCCCCACTTCTAGCCCCACCTGGCACAGGAATTGTATTTCTTTGTTGGTGAGACAGGATGTTGCTCTGGTGTCCAGCTGACCTAGAACACTTCCTGCTTCTACTGCTCCAAGACCGGGATTATAGATATGTGCTACCATGCATTCTTAGGTTTTGTTTTGGTGTGTGTGCGTGTGTGTTGGTACTAGAACTTAAACTCAGGGCTTTACATTCTCACACAGCTTTTTTGGCTCAAGGCTGGAACTCTACCACTTGAACCACACAGCTCCACTTTTGGCTTTTTGGTGGTTAGTTGGAGATAAGAGTCTCATAGACTTTCCTGCCCCTGCTGGCTTCAAGCCACAATCTTCCGATCTCACCTCTGGAGTAGCTGGGATTCCAGACATAAACCACCAGCACTGGGCTTGGGGTTGTATTTTACTGCAACTCGGTTCAAGTCCTCTCTGTGCTCAGAACTTCCCATGACTTTCATCTTACTTAGGGATAAAAGCAAAAAGGTCTTCATTCTGATTCACCAGCCAGCTACCACTCACTCCGTCTCCTCCCGCCCCTCTTCCTCTCCTCCCGCCCCTCTTCCTCTCCTCCTGCCCCTCTTCCTCTCCTCCAGCCCCTCTTCGTCTCCTCCCGCCCCTCTTGTCTCCGGGCTCCAGGTATGCTCCAGCCTCAGGACCTTTGCACCTGCTCTTTGTCTGCCTTGGTTTGTCTCCTCAACTCTCGTGCTTTCTTCACATCTTTGCTTAGGTGTCTGTGGCTTTCACCCTGTGCTGTGCAGCTCAGCTGCTGCTGACCACAGGTGGCCTTTGCATGAGAACCATGGTCGATGTAGAATGTGCACCAGATTAGAAAGGAAATCATGTGCAAAATGGCATATGAATGATCATTTGGCTGGGCAACAGAGCACATGCCTGTATTCCCAGCACTTGAGAAACTAGTCTCACCTAGGCTTCTCAAAGAAAACTTACAAATAATAATGATAGTAATTATTAATTTATACTGTGGTTGTCTCTCCATATCATGGCTTCTATTCGTTGCATTCAACCCATTGAAAGTCACAAAGAAGCTTGGTGTGGTAGCTCACGCCCATAATCCTTAGCTACTCAAGAGGCTGAGAGCTGAAGACCAAGGTTTGAAGCTACCCTGGGCTGGAGTCTATGAGTCTCTGATGCCCAGTGAACTACCAAAAAGCCAGAGTGGAACTGTGGCTCAAGCGGTAGAGTCCCATCCTTGAGCTAGAACGCTTGAGACATTTCCCAGTACTGGCACCAAATATGTGTGTGTGTGTGTATATACATATATATTTTAATAACAAAAAATGTTTAGAGATGTTCAGTACAGAAGCAATCTCCTTCCTGGCTTTTAAATTTTCTTTTCTTTCCTAAGCAATACAGCATGGTAAAAAAATTCCCCAGCATGTACATTGTGTGAGGTTCTAGTTGGACGCCCATGGCTCAGGCCTGTGTTCTTAGCTACTCAGGAGGCTGAGATCTGAGGATCAGGATTCAAAGCTGGCCTGGGGAAGGAAAGTCCATGAAACTCATAGCCGAAATTAATCACCAAACCCCCCCCCCAAAAAAAACCCATGAGTGGAATTGTGGTTCAAGTGGTAGAGAGACCGCCTTGAGCACAAAATCTCAGGGACAGCATCCTGAGCCCCGAATTCAAGCCCCAGGACCAACACAGCACACACAAATTAACTTCACGGTTGTTTATTTTTCGTTTTAAGTAGCTACTGGAACAATGTGAACTTCCATGCTGGACAATGCTAATCTGGACGCTTTTTGGATCCTGGCAGCACCCAGGGCCCTCTCTTGTGCTAGGCAAGTGCTCATTGTCAAGCCACGCCCCCGAAACGAACCACGCCCACAACAGGACCACGCCCCCGATGCAGAGGCACGCCCAATCATTGGTCACGCCCCCTGATCATCAGGCCATGTCCTGATGCTGAACCATGCCTGTGAGAGTGACCAGGCCCCCTGGGTGCGGCGCCTCGCTTGGCCACGCCCCCACGCCTGGCCACGCCCCTCCTTTCAAGTTCCCTGGACCCGGATTCTTTGTCCCCCCATGGCCCGGCTAGGCTCTGGCATGCTGTCATTCTTCAGTTCATAGCTGTCAAGCCTATGCCTGGAAACTCAGCCAATGCATGCGGCTCGTTGTGCCAACCCAAACTGACAGCTCCTATCTGCCAAGAAGAAGAAGAAGAGAGCGAGAGGCAGGAATCTCCGGGTGATCTGTGGGAAAGAATTTGAGGAACCCAAGTTTAACAGTGAGCTGGAGGGAGCTGAGCATGGTGCTCGGCCTGTTGATCCCAGGCCTGGCCCAGGCACACCCCAGGAGATCACGAGTTCAAGGACAAGCCCTGGCTCCACAGCGAGACTCTGTCCTACAAAGCAAATAAGCAGGGAGAGTAAGCAAGAGGCGACATGGTCCGAACAGAACTGGAATCCGTCATCTCCCTGCACATCACCTTTACCATGACAGTAAGATAGCACCTAAGCAGACAAGTACAGAAGAAATTTGGTGGGGGAAGAGGAGAATTAGCATGTACAATCAACCTCGAGGTGGACGCACACCGGCTCGCTCCTGACAGAGAGAGACAGACAGAGAGAGACAGAGAGAGACAGAGAGAGCAAGGCTCTCCGCCCACCTCCCCCAGCCTTTGATTGAGAGGTGCTCCCTGTGGGTCAGCTTTTCCTCCCTAATCCCACCAACTTCAAAGAAGCAGAGGCTTATTTGGGCTTCGTGGATCGGGGTTAGGTGTGTGGCTGGTGCCACATTTGCTCTGCGGTGGGACAGGCGGGTTCGCGCGAACAAAGCTGCGCAGCTCATGGCTGCGAGGAGCCCACAGGAAGGCCGGACGGGAAGGCCAGACAGGAAGGCCGGACAGACGGGAAGGCCAGAGGAGGTAGCGGCCCGTGTCCCAATAGCCAAGCCCCAAGGAGGCCCTGCCCCCCATGACCTCCCTCTCTCCCGCTAGGCCCCGCCCCTTAAAGGTGCCTCCACCTCCTAACTAGTGCCTTTGCCTGGTGAGCCAAGCCTTCCTTTGAGGGACACTTTAGATTAACCCCCTCAAAAAAGGCTTTCATTCCCTGGACTGGCCTCCATTTGAAAGCACTTGCCGTTCATTTCCAGTAGCCTACGGGCATAGGTAGTTTGTGGTGCTGGAAATGACAGCTTCTGCAAGACTGTCGAATCATTGAAGGCTCACACGGTTTCAGGGGTTACACAACAAGGACAGATGGAGGCCCGGAGCATGGAAGTCACCTGCCTAAGGCCAGCCTGCCTAGATGTGAACTCATGAAGATTTAAGACTGTTCGGTCTGGTGTGGTTTTAACATAGAATCTGATTGTGTAGCCCAGGCAGGCTGTAAATCCCTAATCCTTCCTGCCGGAGTCTCTTCAGGACCGGGATTACAGGCATGCACTCCCAGCCTGGACTGCTTTTCTGTGTGTTGAGCCTTAAAACCAGCTGCCATTTCTCCAGCTCCCCCCACCCCCACCCCCACTCTCCATTGCCTTGGGCTTACCCATGATTCATTCAGGTTGTGGGCTGTGGAATCTATTTGAGGTCACCCAGCTGTGAATTTATAGAATTTTATAAATCACCTTGTGCCGAGCAAGCAGGGTAGTGTACACCTGTAACCCCAGCCCTCACGGGGTCCAAGGCAAGAGAATCTCAGGTTCTGGTCTCAGTTGTCTGCCTGTGTGCCAGCTCCTCAAACCCACCTTCTCTCTTCTACCCTGGCGCTTTTCTTCCAGTATCTTGGCCACCGTTGGGACGGAGTTTGACCTGCGAACTCTGAGGGCAGTTCGGGTTCTACGGCCGCTCAAGCTGGTGTCTGGAATCCCAAGTACGTGAGTGACTGACCAGACCTGGGGCTTCGCTCGGGGACTCCGGGAGCACTCAGTTTCTGCCCCCCCCTTCGGAAGGCCCTTAGTGTGTGTCAGGGGTTCCCCAGTGACCACACCCCACCCGTGACCGTCAGTCTGAATCCTCACTCCTCACATTGGCTGTGTCCATTTCTTTTTTTTTTTTTGGGGGGGGGTCTGGTCGTGGGGCCTGAACTCTGGGCCTGGGCGCTGTCCCTCAGCTCTTCAGCTCAAGGCTAGTGCTCTACCCCTTGAGCCACAGCA